AGTGGGTATCCTTAAAATATTGAAATGTCAATATATACATTATTTGCAAATGTCTATGCCTTCGACGTATATATATATATATATATATATATATATATATATATATATATATATATATATATATATATATATATATATATATATATATATATATATATATATATATATATATATATATATATAATATATATATATATATATATATATTATATATATATATATTTACCATATATATATATATATATATATATATATATTATATATATATATATATATATATATATATATATATATATATATATATATATATATATATATATATATATATATATATATATGTATATGTATATAATATGTATATTTATTCATCTATTTATATGTATATTTATGTGTGGTGTATTTATTTATCTATTCATGTACACATATGAATATGTGTGTGTGTGTGTATCAGCCTGAACATTCCACTGCAAGACGTAGGCCTCTTTTCCACCTTTTTTCTGCCCTGCGTCCTTGTCCAGTGTCTGTTCTGGCCTCCCAAGTCCGTTGTCTTGTCACGCCATCTTGCCATTGGTCTGCTCTCGGCCTCCTCGTGTTTGCTGAGCCCTAAATCTTACTTTCTTTGTCCATCTGTCGTGCTTTCTTCTCTTTCCTTTTCCGACATAATACAAACACATATATACATATATATATATATATATATATATATATATATATATATATATATATATATATATATATATATATATATATATATATATATATATATATATATATATATATATATATAATATATATATATATATATATATATATATATATATATATATATATATATATATATATATATATATATATATATATATATATATATATATATATATATATATATATATATATATATATATATTATATATATAGTATATATATATATATTTATATATATATATATATATATATATATATATATATATATATATATAATATATATATATATATATATATATATATATATATATATATATATATATATATATATATATATATATATATATATATATATATATATATATATAATATAAATATATATATATATATATATATATATATATATATATATATATATATATATATATATATATATATATATATATATATATATATTATTATTATATATATATGTAATATATATAATATATATATATATATACGTATACATATATCCACCTACATGCACACACAGCCTCGCAAAAATCCGTCCATCGCCTCCTCTACAACGCGTCCGAAGAGAGGGAGCGAGCAAACAGGCGGAGGAAGGTAAAGAAGTAGAGGCGGAGAAGCGGAAAGGGGGGGCAGGGGCGGGTGGGTGGGGGTGGAGTAGATTGGGGCGGGGGGGGGGGGAGGGGGGAGAGTAGATTGGGGGCAGGGGGTGGGGGTGGAGTAGATTTGGGGGCAGGGGGGTGGGAGCGGTGGAGTAGATTGTAGGCGAAACGAAGACAGGGAGAGAGGAAGGAAGAGAGGCGGAGGCGTAGAGACGGAGAGAGGACAGACGATATAAAAAAAAAAAGAGGGGGGGTTAAGGGGGGGGGGTTGCAGACGAGAGGAGGGGGGGGGTGGGGGTTACAGGAGAGGGAGGGGGGGGGGGGGGGAGAAGAAGGGGGACTGGGGGAGGGGGGTATAACCTATGGGGATACCAGGGCGAAAGTAGATGGAGGTAGATGAGGGTCGAGGGGGGGGGGGAGGGGGAGAAGAAGAGAGAGGGAGGGAAAGGGAGGAGGAGATTCTAGGAAGACGAAGGTAAAGGAGGGTTGAGAGGTTGGGCGTAGGGGTGAAGACGTTTAGAAGGGGGGGGGGGGGAGGTGATGAAGGAGAGGGAGGAGGAGGAGGAGGAGGAGGAGGGAGAGATGGAAAAAGGAGGAAGGAGGGTCAGACGGAGGAGGAGGGAGAGAGGAGGAGGAGGAAGGAGGGAGAGGAGGAGAAGAGAGAAGATGGGAGGGAGAGACGGAGAGGAGGAGGGAGGTAGAGAAGAAGAGGTAGGAGGAGGAAGAGACGAAGGAGGAGGAGGAGGAGAGAAGGAAGAGGAAGTAGAAGAGAAGGAGGAAAAGGAAAGAAGAGAAGAGGAAGAGGGAAAAGAAGAAGAAGAAGAAGGAAATGAGTAGGAGGGACAGAAGGACAGCAGGAGGAGGAGGGAGGGGAGGGAGGGAGAGACTATGGAACACGAAGGCGAGAGGAAGCGAGGGGGCCGAGGGAGGGAGCCGGGTGAAAATTTCATGAGGTTGATTTTTGAAAAGTCATTAATTAAAACTTTCATGCCTTACATTAGCCGGGCTGAGCAAACACCGGTCGAGAAAAGTGAGGTGGGGACGGAGGTGGGGGTGGGTGGGGGGAGGGAGGAGGGGGAGGATAAGGAGGGAGGAGATGATGATAATGATGATGATGAGAAGGAGGAAGAGGAGGGGAGGAGGAGGCGGAGGTGAAAAAGGAGGAAGAGGGAGGAGGAGGAGGAGGTGAAAGGAGAAAAGAGGAAGAGAAGGAAGAGAAGAAGAAGGAGGAGGAGGAGGAGTGAGGGAGGAAAAGAGGAAGAGGAAGGAGAAGGAGGTGAGGAGAAAGAGGAAGAGGGAGAAGAAGGAGGTGAGGAGAAAAGAGGAGAGAGAAAGAAGGGGAGGGAGGAGGTGGAGAAGATGGAGAGAAGGAGAATGAGGAGGACAATATAAGAAGAAGAAGAAGAAGATGAAGAAGAGGAGGAGGAAGGAGAGGAAGACGACGTGGGCTGAAGATGAGGGCGATGGTGAGGTTAAGGAAGAGAGGCAAGCGTGAGGGAAAAAATGAGGAAAACTGGAGAACAGGGGAATGAAGAGAAAGTAGAAAAGAACAGATGAGAGAAAGGGGAGGTGGCAGCTGTAAAGGTCGTGTGTGCGTGTGTGTGCGTGGTGTGTGTGTGTGTGTGTGTGGTGTGTGTGTGTGTGTGGTGTGTGTGTGTGTGTGTTGTGTGGTGTGTGTGTGTGTGTGTGTGTGTGTGTGTGTGTGTGTGTGTGTGTGTGTGTGTGTGTGTGTGTGTGTGTGTGTGTGTGTGTGTGTGTGTGTGTGGCGTGTGTGTGCGTGTGCGTGTGCGTGTGTGTATGTGTGTGTGTGCGTGCGTGCGTGCGTGTGCGTGTACGTGTATACGTGTCATCTGTCAGCCTGTGTTTTACAAATAGACAAAAATCACCATAATACACCACAGTGGCAAAACGCATTAAAACAACACCTTCCTTTCATCATCCTTTAATACAAAAACAAAAAAATCTCCAAAAAAAAACAAAAACTGGCAACCCGGCGCCGTCCCCCCTCGCGACAAAACGCCGGCTGTCACACGCAGGTCGTTGATTAATTAAGAGTATTTATGCCAAGGCTCTCAATTACAGCCTCGGCGGCGTATTGAAAAAGCCAAAAAAGAGATTTTCCTGAAATGTGCCGAAGCTCTTCAAGATACAGCAATGCATACGGAATCAGTTGCAAACACACGGTACGTATTCTCCTCTCACATTACATTAATATTATGTACATAACAGCAAAACAAAAAGTTTGACATTATCTTGATAAAAAAAGGAAATGAGAAAAAGAAAAAAAAAAAATTAAGGGTACACATACACCCGACTGCTCCTGATGAATTTAACATGAACCGCGAAAAAACAGTATCATTAACATTAAGCAAACATAGGAATGTCGAAAATCCAAATTTCCACTAATTACTACTAAAATATTATATCACGAGTTCTGCGGTGCTCAGGCATGCGAGACAGAAAGGGGGGGGCGAAGATTAAAAAAAAAAAAAAATTATCTACTTCTGCATAAAGAAATAATGTAAAATATCTACTTCTGCATAAAGAACATAATGAACATATATGTAAAATATCTACTTCTGTATAAAGAACATAATGTAAAATATCTACTTCTGTATAAAGAACATAATGTAAAAATATCTACTTCTGCATAAAGAACATAATGTAAAATATCTACTTCTGCATAAAGAACATAATGTAAAATATCTAATAAAGAACATAATGTATATCTAATAAAGAACATAATGAAATATCTACTTCTGTATAAAGAACATGCATAAAACATAATGTAAAAATATCTACTTCTGCATAAAGAACATAATGTAAAATATCTACTGCATAAAGAACATAATGTAAAATATCTTACTTCTGCATAAAGAACATAATGTAAAATATCTACTTCTGCTAAAGAACATAATGTAAAATATCTACTTCTGCATAAAGAACATAATGTAAAATATCTACTTCTGCATAAGAATAATGTAAAATATCTACTTCTGCATAAAGAACATAATGTAAAATATCTACTCAATAAAGAACATAATGTAAAATATCTACTTCTGCATAAAGAACATAATGTAAATATCTACTTCTGCACAAAGAACATAATGTAAAAATATCTACTTCATGCATAATGTAAGAAGCATAATGTAAAATATCTACTTCTGCATAAAGAACATAATGTAAAATAGTCTAAATGAATGATATGAAAGGAATTGATAGGGAGGAATTTTAGATCTGCATGACTTAAAACTTTTCTTTGGGGCTCTGCATGACTGCCCCGACTGCGAGGGAAAAATTTTCAGGTCAAGCGAGAGATCAAAGTACCTTAGAAAATTGTTGGCACTCTCATTATTAGCTAACTTCCCTCCTTTATGCTTAAAGGATATGAACTCAAAATAACGCACATGCACACGCACGCACATACACGCACACGCACATGAGAAGGTACGCACACGGATGAAGTCATTTATGCATGATACAGATGTACACATAGGAGCACCATGCATGTATTTATTCGTTTATTATTTTGTTTTATCTTTTATTTAATCTTTTATTCTTCTTATAAGTGTTTCTTTCTTACTCCTAATTTCTTTTTTTCTTCCCTTCTGCTTTTTTATTTACTATCATCGTTTTTCTTCTGTCTTTAATCTATCTTTCTTTTCATTCCTCTTTCATCTTCCTTTGTTCAAGTTTTATTTCCTTTACTTTCTCTTTTTTCTCTCTTAGGAGTTAATTCTTCTTTATCTCTCTCTTTATCACATTCCCTTTCCATTCCTCATTTCAATCTATAATCCTAACGGTCCATACTTACTCTCAGATTATTAATTATCCATAAATCCAATATCCATTAGCCTTACAACCTGAGTGACTAGATTAATCTTTACGTATATAGTGACAACCTTACTATAACGAACAACATATCAGTTGTCATAGCAATGTTCATAGTTCATGTTTAAGTGTTTAATCGTATTATAGATAAAATACTGTTCATACTTCAGAATGTCAGCATTTCATTCACAAAACTTAAATATAGTAAGTTGTTCGTGACATCTTGATTAAGGAAGTTGTTATTCATCTTATGTTACTGACGAAGTTGTTCATTCGCATTCTGTTATTTACGAAGTTAGTAAACATATTCAGTTGTTCACGAAGCTGTTCTTCATGTTATGACAATCACACTGTTATCCAAGAAGTTGTTCAAACACACTGTTATCCATGAAGCTGTTAATTTACACTGTTATCCAAGAAGTTGTTCATTCACACCGTTATCCAAGTTGTTCATTCACACTGTTATCCAAGTTGTTCATCCAAATTATTTACAAGGAGCACAGGATCACTTCCTCTCCGCCAGCGCCCTCTTGCCATAACACTGCGTCGGACAGTCGCTGAAGTAACAGAGCGCACACACGTGAGGCCCCACGGAGGAGACATCCACGCCCGCCTCCTCCAGCGCCTCCTCCAGACGGGTCACGCGGTCCTGGAGCCTCTTGACCTCCTCGTCCATGCCCTCGGCGGTCTTGGCGACGACGGCGTGGCAGAAGGACGGGAAGGAGAGGGACTTGGTGGCCGTGCCGTGGCGGATGTGGTAGGTCAAGTCCATTATCGGGTTGTAGTAGTGTTCCTGTGAGAAAAGCGAAGGTGTTTTATGGGAGTTACTGATAAGGCATACCATATTCACACGCCTGTTGTTGGTACGCGTGTATGACCGTGCAGCTTGTTCTAAACATACACCGCGCTGTACGACACGAGGCTCGCCGCGCTAGGTCGCCAGAGGTCAGAAGATGAACCCGACCTCGTAGCGACCCACCTTGACCCGTTCTCACTACTTCGCTCACTACTGGGTCAGACGCCTCGCTCGCCCCTAGCTGATGACACCGTTACCTGCAAGCTACCAACGAGCACCGTAACTAACACCGTTAATAAAGTGGAGAAACAAGAAGATTGTGTTTTCTCTGACCCTGTCACTCAGTATAGTGGGACTCTTTATAACTGAATTAGAGACCATTTTAGTTTGGTGGAAGGGACGAGTGTGATGCTGCTGAGGGAGAAGGGGTGCAGGATGAGGAGATGAGAAAGGTAGAGAAGGATGGTGGAGACGATTAGAGAGGGAGGGATGAGCAGAGGAGGAGGAGGCAGAGAGGGGTAAGGGGGTGGTGAAGAGGTGATAGGGAGAGAATGATGATGATGGAGATAAAGAAGGAAGATCGAGACAAGGAGGAAGAGAGGGAAAATTGAGAGGGGAGAGTAAGGAAAATAGATGAGGTAAGATGGCGAGGAGGGGATAGGAGGAACGAGAGAGAAAGGGAAGAAGAGAAGGATGATAGAGATGATTAGACAAAGAGGGAAGATGGAGAATAGGAGACAGAGGGGAAATAGAGGAGGAGGAGGAGGGGGAAGGCAGAATAAAGAGACAAGGAGGTAGGGAAGGTGGTGAAGACAAGAGAGGGATGAATTGACTAAGAGAGGCAGAGAGAAGAAGAGAAGAATGGAGAGGAGGTAAAAAGGGAAGATAAAGATGAAGAGGCAAGGGGAGGGCGGAGAAGAGGAGACAGAGAAGAGAAGAATGAAGACGAGGAGGTAACAGGTAGAAAGTGTGAAGAAGACAGTAAGCAAGGAAAATAGAAAATTGGGGAGAAGACAGAATTATACGGAAAACAAGGAGGTAGAAAGGGAAGATGAGAAGAGCAAGGAAGACGCAGAAGAGGAGGCAGACAATGAAGATGAAGGGAGTAATACATAAGGAAAGTTGGAGAAAATGAGGTAGACATTTTAAGCTTAGAAGTCAACTCAAGAAGACATTTTAAAACTTAGAAGTCAACTCTTAGAGACTCAGCAGACATTTTAAGCTTAGAAGTCAACTTAGGCAAGCTTTCAACTAAGCTTAGAAGTCAACTCAAGCATTTTTAAGCTTAGAAGTCAACTCAGAAGACATTTTTTTCAACAAGACATAAGCTTCAACTCAGTAGACATTTTAAGCTTAGAGTCAACTCAGTAGACATTTTAAGCTTAGAAGTCAACTCAGCAGACAAATTTTATTTTAAGCTTAGAAGTCAACTCAGTAGACATTTTAAGCTTAGAAGTCAACTCAGTAGACATTTTAAGCTTAGAAGTCAACTCAGTAGACATTTTAAGCTTAGAAGTCAACTCAGCAGAGTCATTTAAGCTTAGAAGTCAACTCATTAGACATTTTAAGCTTAGAAGTCAACTCAGCAGACATTTTAAGCTTAGAAGTCAACTCAGTAGACATTTAAGCTTAGAAGTCAACTCAGCAGACATTTTAAGCTTAGAGTCAACTCAGTAGAAGCTTAGAAGTCAACTCAGCAGACATTTTAAGTTAGAAGTCAACTCAGAGACATTTTAAGCTTAGAAGTCAACTCAGTAGACATTTTAAGCTTAGAAGTAACTCAGTAGACATTTAAGCTTAGAAGTCAACTCAGCAGACTTTAAGCAGTAGGAGGCAACTCAGTAGACATTTTAAGCTTAGAAATCAACTCAGTAGACATTTTAAGCTTAGAAGTCAACTCAGCAGACATTTTAAGCTTAGAAGTCAAAGTACATTTTAAGCTTAGAAGAAGTCAACTCAGCAGACATTTTAAGCTTAGAAGTCAACTCAGAGACAAGAAGAGACATTTTAAGCAGTCAGTAGACATTTTAAGCTTAGAAGTCAACTCAGTAGACATTTTAAGCTTAGAAGTCAACTCAGTAGACATTTTAAGCTTAGAAGTCAACTCAGTAGACATTTTAAGCTTAGAAGTCAACTCAGTAGACATTTTAAGCTTAGAAGTCAACTCAGCAGACATTTTAAGCTTAGAAGTCAACTCAGTAGACATTTTAAGCTTAGAAGTCAACTCAGGAGCCATTTTAAGCTTAGAAGTCAACTCAGCAGACATTTTAAGCTCAGGCGTTTGGACAAGTGGAAACTGTCGTAAAATATGCACCACGGTGGAATGAGCAAGAATATTTAGCTGTATTTTTTCCCGGGTGAGAATGAAATAAAATAAAAATGCGAAAGAGGAGGAAAACTACATAAGATAAACGTAGCTAAGATAACTTCGCACATCACATACAAGATAATTTCTCATACTAAATAGAAATAATTTAGCACACCACATACAAAACAATTTCTCACGCCAAAATAAAAGATAATTTCGCACACCAAACACAAGATAATTTCTCACGCCAAATAAAGATATTTTCGTACACCAAACAAGATAATTTCTCACACCAAGTAAAAAATAATTTCTCACCCCTAATAAAAAAAATAATCTAGCACATCACATACAAAATAATTTCTCACGCCAAATAAATCATAATTTAGCACACCAAACAAAAGACAATTTCTCACACCAAATAAAAGACAATTTAGCACACCACATACAAGACAATTTCTCACGCCAAATAAATCATAATTTAGCACACCAAACAAAAGACAATTTCTCACACCAAATAAAAGACAATTTAGCACACCAAACAAAAGACAACTTCTCACGCAAAATAAAACATAATTTGGCACACCAAACAAAGATAATTTCTCACCCAAACAAAAGACAATTTCTCACACCAAATAAAAACGTAATTTAGCACACCAAACAAAAGACAATTTCTCACGCCAAATAAAACATTATTTACCACACCAAAAAAAGACAATTTCTCACGCAAATAATTTAGCACACCAAACAAAAGACAATTTCTCACGCCAAATAAAAGCAATTTAGCACACCAAACAAAAGACAATTTCTCACGCCAAATAAAAGACAATTTAGCACACCCAACAAAAGACAATTTCTCACGCCAAATAAAAGACAATTTAGCACACCAACAAAAGACAATTTCCACACCAAATAAAAGACAATTTAGCACACCGAACAAAAGACAATTTCTCACGCCAAATAAAGACAATTTAGCACACCAAACAAAAGACAATTTCTCACCAAATAAAAGACATTCTCACCCAAACAAAAGACAATTTCTCACACCAAATAAAAGACAATTTAGCACACCAAACAAAAGACAATTTCTACGCCAAAAGACAATTTAGCACACCAAACAAAAGACAATTCTCACGCCAATAAAAGACAATTTAGCACACCAAACAAAAGACAATTTCTCACGCCAAATAAACAGAATTTAGCACACCAACAAAAGACAATTTCTCACACCAAATAAAAGACAATTTAGCACACCAAACAAAAGACAATTTCTCACACCAAATAAAAGACAATTTAGCACACCAAACAAAAGACAATTTCTCACGCCAAATAAAACGCACACCAAACAAAAGACAATTTCTCACCCCAAATAAAAGACAATTTAGCACACCAAACAAAAGACAACTTCTCACGCCAAATAAAAGACAATTTAGCACACCAAACAAAAGACAAATTCTCACGCCAAATAAAACATAATTTAGCACACCAAACAAAAGACAATCTCTCACGCCAAATAAAACATAATTTAGCACACCAAACAAAAGACAATTTCTCACGCCAAATAAAAGACAATCTCTCACCAAATAAAACATAATTTAGACAACACCAAACAAAAGACAATTTCTCACGCCAAATAAAAGACAATTTATCACACCAAACAAGACAATTTCTCACGCCAAATAAAAGACAATTTAGCACACCAAACAAAAGACAATTTCTCACGCCAAATAAAACATAATTTAGCACACCAAACAAAAGACAATTTCTCACACCAAACAAAAGACAATTTCTCACGCCAAACAAAAGACAATTTCTCACGCCAAAGAAAACATAAGTTAGCACACCAAACAAAGACACTCACACCAAACAAAAGACAATTTCTCACGCCAAATAAAAAATAATCTAGCACACCAAACAAAAGACAATTTTCTCACGCCAAATAAAACATAATTAGCACACCGAACAAAAGCACGCCCTAGCACACCAAACAAAAGAATTTTTTCCCGCCAAATAAAAAATAATCTAGCACACCAAACAAAAGACAATTTCTCACACCAAACAAAAGACAATTTCTCACGCCAAATAAAAAAATAATCTAGCACACCAAACAAAAGACAATTTCTCACGCCAAATAAAACATAATTTAGCACACCGAACAAAAGACAATTTCTCACGCCAAATAAAAAATAATCTAGCACACCAAACAAAAGAATTTCTCACGCCAAACAAAACATAATTTAGCACACCAAACAAAAGACAATTTCTCACGCCAAATAAAAGACAATTTAGCACACCAAACAAAAGATAATTTCTCACGCCAAATAAAACATAATCTAATTTCTCACGCCAAATAAAACATAATTTAGCACACCAAACAAAAGACAATTTCTCACGCCAAACAAAAGACAATTTCTCACGCCAAATAAAACATAACTTAGCACACCGAACAAAAGACAATTTCTCACGCCAAATAAAAGACAATTTAGCACACCAAACAAAAGACAATTTCTCACGCCCAAATAAGACAATTAGCACACCAAACAAAAGACAATTTTCTCACGCCAAATAAAAGACAATTTAGCACACCAAACAAAAGACAATTTCTCACGCCAAATAAAACATAATTTAGCACACCAAACAAAAGACAATTTCTCACGCCAAATAAAACATAATTTAGCACACCAAACAAAAGACAATTTCTCACGCCAAATAAAAAATAATCTAGCACACCAAACAAAAGATAATTTCTCACGCCAAAACAAAAAAGACAATTTCTCACGCCAAACAAAAGACAATTTTCTCACGCCAAATAAGACAACTTAGCACACCAAACAAAAGACAATTTCTCACGCCAAAACATTTAGCATACCACATAGAAGACAATTTCTCACGCCAAATAAAACATAATTTAGCACACCAAACAAAAGACAATTTCTCACGCCAAATAAAAGACAATTTAGCACACCAAACCAAAGACAATTTCTCACGCCAAATAAAACATAACTTAGCACACCAAACAAAAGATAATTTCTCCCGCCAAAAACAATAAAAGTCCCAACGCCTTACCATCTGGGGAATGGCGTGAAGTTCCACCACCCACACGTTATTCAGGATATGGCCGCTGCTCGCCATTACGTTGGTGTATCGGACTCCTGTAGTGAAAAAAAAAAATAGAAATCGTATGAATGAGAATGAATTGAGATGTATTAGATGTATTTGACCGGTTTCGAATATATCTTCGTCGTGTATTCGAAACCGGTCGAATGCATCTCTTGTATTTTGAGAAGATATTCGGTTTCATTCATACTTTTTCTACATTTGTCAACATGAATGAGGTTCATTGAAAGAAATGTTGCAGGGAAATCGGCGGTCCTAAATCTGGAAGAAAATTCAAAGCTTAATTTGGATATAAAAATTCGTTTAGATATGTTCATCAGAGATCTTTTTTTATTGAAATACTCATGACGCTGAATTAATCCATACTGCATGAATGCTGATTCAGTGTATCATGCATGGCACTGAGGTTATCATGCATGACACTGACACACTGTCACATCACTGCAACACTGACTCACACTCACACACGACACTGACTCACAGCATCACACACGACACTGACTCACAGCATCACACACGACACTGACTCACACCATCACACACGACACACACAGCATCACAACACGACACTGACTCACAGCATCACACACGACACTGACTCACAGCATCACACACGACACTGACTCACAGCACACACACGACACCGACTCACACCATCACACACGACACTGCATCACACACCACGACACACTCACAGCATCACACACACACCACGACTCACAGCATCACACACGACACTGACTCACACCATCACCACGACACTGACTCACACATCACACACGACACACTCACAGACACACCACACAGCATCACACACGACACTGACACACTCACACACGACACTGACTCACACCATCACACACATCACACACGACACACTCACACATCACACACACACCGACTCACAGCATCACACACGACACTGACTCACACCATCACACACGACAGACTCACAGCATCACACGACACCGACACACGACACCGACTCACACCATCACACACGACACTGACTCACACCATCACACACGACACCGACTCACACCATCACACACTACACCGACTCACACCATCATACCAACTCACCATACTGCGGGACATGAAGACGGGGCATGAGGTAGATCTTTACAGTGTTCATGATTCCATGTACGAACTGAGCGACCATCTGTGCATCGGCGGTGACCCCGTGTACAGTGCCATCCTCTGCCACGCCCACGTACACCACCCCTCGCTCTCCGGTATTCAGTAAACCCACTAACAGCTGCCAAAAGTAATGATTGTGATAATGCCATGGGAAAAAAAAGTTGATTGTTATTTATTTTTTTTTTTTTGTAATTGGGTTTTTTAATTATTTTTTCTTCGTCTTTCCTTCTTTCTTAATCTTCTTTACTTTTTAACCTATTATTCTTAATTCAATTTTTAATTTCTATTTTTTAAAGATTCGTCGGGAAATATAAAACATGTTATTTATTCGCTTCTTTCAGTTTGTAATTGGATTTTTTAATTATTTTTCTTCGTCTTTCCTTCTTGTTCTTATTCTTCTTTTCTTTTAACCTATTATTCGTAATTCAATTTTTAATTTCTATTTTAAAAGATTCGTCGGGAAATATAAACCATGTTATTTATTCGCTTTTTTCAGTTTGTAATTGGATTTTTTTATCATTTTTTCTTCGTCTTTTCTTCTTATTCTTTTCTTCTTTACTTTTAACCTATTATTCGTAATTCAATTTTTTAATTTCTATTTTTAAAGATTCATCGGGAAATATAAAACCGTTATTTATTCGCTTTTTTCAGTTTGTATTTGGATTTTTTAAATTATTTTTCTTCGTCTTTCTTCTTATTCTTATTCTTCTTTTCTTTTAACCTATTATTCTCAATTCAATTTTTAATTTCTATTTTTCTAAAGATCCATCGGGAAATATAAACCATGTTATTTATTCGCTTTTTTCAGTTTGTATTTGGATTTTTTTTATCATGTTTTCTTCGTCTTTCCTCCTATTCTTCTTTCTTTTAGGCTATTATTCTTAATTCAATTTTTAATTTCTATTTTTTAAAGATTCATCAGGAAATATAAACAAAAAAGATAAAAACAAACATAAAAAAAATCTCTCGCATTCACCTTTAGCACAGTATCCCGCCGAACGTCACACAGATCAGCCACTGGGAAGAAATGACACCGCTGACCTGCCGGAAAAGGCATCTTCTGACGGTACACGAAGCTGACCTCCTCCTGCTGTTGGCCGTTCGTCAGCACCGCCTCCAGGTCGTCGTCGCCCTCCGCTCTCCCGACGCTCTCCCTCACCTGCAGGAGGGAGAATTTTGCGCGCGGAAATATGGCGGGAAGGAGGTGGGTTTCTGAAGGACTGGAGGCGCGTTTTCTCTTCGATTTTCTTTGGTGTGATTTTATTTTTTTTCTGGAGGTTTGTCTCTTTTTTTTTTTTTTCCTTTTTTTTTGTTTTTGTTCTTTCACTTTTTTCTTTCTTCTTTTCTCTTCTCTCTCTCTCTCTTCTCTCTCTCTCTCTCTCTCTCTCTCTCTCTCTCTCTCTCTCTCTCTCTCTCTCTCTCTCTCTCTCTCTCTCTCTCTGAACTACCGAAAAAAAATTAACAAAAAATGGACATGGTACCATCTGGCATTATTAAAGTATTGTAGGAACATCTGACAACCATATGAAGTCTATAATGGACGGAGACAGCAGGTTACACTGACCAGGCTATGCATAGGATACCAGTACGCTATACATTATGTACAGGATGCAGTTTTGAAGGCAAACCCAGTTTCGTATCACCACTGCAAAAAATTGCAATAAATAGTACTGACCAGAGAAAATTCTGTTATAGGACACTGGTCTTGTCTTTGATATGATTAGTGATGTAAAAGTTGTTTTTATCAGTAATGTAAGTACAACAGCATAGCCCTTAGGCATGCACAATTTATGTTTGATTGACATCCCCTACATTAATAGAAGAACAACCATTTTGGATAGATGTTATAGCATCTTCCCCTGGCTTTTTGCAGGGCATGTACACTGTTCGGTAAATAAATTTTATCAAATCAAATCTCTCTCTCTCACACACACTCGCTCTCCAGCCACTTCTTGCCGTGTCCATTATCCTCTTCATTATCTTCCCGCTCCTTCTTGTTTCCCTTTTCCTCCTCTCCTTATTTCCTTCTCTTTCTTTTCCCTTCCCTTCCCTTTCTCCTTCTCTCTCTCCTCTTCCTCTTTTTCCTTCCCCTTCTACTTTTTCTCCTTCTCCTCCTAGCCCCCTTCCGTATTCATCTTCCTTTTAGCACTCCACCTTCCCTTCCTCCTTGCCCTATCCCTCATCCCTTACCGTCACCCTTACTCTCTTCCCTCACCCTCACCTCCTCCCTCCTCTCTCTTCCCTCACCCTCCACCCTCCTCCCTCACACTCACCCTCACCCTCACCCTCACCCTCCTCCCTCCTTCCTTACCTCCCACTCACACTCACCCCCTCACCCTCCTCCCTCACACTCACTCTCCACCCCTCACCCTCCTCCCTCACCTCTCCACCCCTCACCCTCCTCCCTCACCTCCCCTCCCTCACCCTCCTCCCTCACCCTCCTCCCTCCTTCCTTACCCTCCATCTCACACTCACCCTCACCCTCCTCTCTCACTCCTCACCCTCCACCTCTTCCCTCACCTCCACCCTCACCCTTACCCTCCTCCTCCCTCACCCTCCACCCTCCTCCCTCACCCCCTCCCTCCTTACCTTCTTAGCCTCGTGCAGTCCCATAGCAAGAATAGACTCGCTCTGGAGGGCCGAGTTGCTCTTCTGCCGGAGCGGTTTCACGGGCGGCGGGTCGTGGGCCACCATCACGCCCGCCCGCACGCCCTGCCTCCTGGGTTGCGGGGGGGCGGCTGGTCGGTCCCCCCGCCCCCCGCCGTCCCTGCTGCTGCCGCCGCGCCCTCGGGTTTGGCCTCTGGGAAGCGGTACGTGGAAGGGCGTGGAGTTTCATCAGTAACATCGTCGTTTTTGATGTTATTATTATGGTGATTATTATTAGTGTTTGAAATATTGCTATTGTTGTTGTTGTTGACGTTGTTGCTGTTGTTGTTATTGTTGTTGTTGTTATTGTTATTATCATTATCATCGCTATAATAATTATCATTATAATTATCATTATCATCATTATCACCATCTTCATTATAATTATCATTATCATCATTACTATCATCATCATTATTATCATAGTAGAAGTAGTAGCAGTAGTAGTAAGAGTATCGTTATCATTATTATTAACTATCTTTATGTTATTTTGATTATTTTCATTTTCATTGTCATGCTCATTATGATTATTATGTTCATCAATATCTGATATTACTGTCCTTATAATTAAATTATCATTATCATTAATAGTAGTAGTAGTAGTAGTAGTAGTATCATTATCATCATCATTATTATTATCATCACTATCATTATTATCATTATCAGCAGCAGCAGCAACATTATTATTACCATAATTATCATCATCATAATTATTACCATCATCATAATTATCATAATAATCTCTATTATTGCAATTATCTCCATTATCACTACTATACTCATATTCATTGTCATTATCATTTGTAGTATTACCATCACAATTACCATCATCATCACGAGAAAGAAGTAAACAAAGAGGACGTAAACAATAAAACAAACACACTAAAATAACGAATCACAACAAAGTATACTTAGCTATAAAAAAAAATAAGACGTAGCCAATTTCAGTGAACCAAAAGGAATACCTGTTAATAGCGAAAATACGTGACCAAATATTTGCAATAAACACTGAACCGCAAACAATGAACATTTTAGAGACCTTAGACGTAAAATATTTTTGTTTCCCACGTCCTTCCCACATTTAGGTTAATAGCGTCTATTAAATGTTAAAAAAAAGTATGAATGAGAATGAATATCTTCATCACGCAAGAGATGTATTTGACAAGTTTCGACATGTCAGAAAATACATGATTTATATAGATTACCATTCATTTAAAAGCCAGTCATTTGGAGGAGGATCTGACCTTAAAGATAATTACCTTTTGTTTTTTTCAAACCAAAAAGATAGCATCCACCTAAACAGAGCAAAATCCACGAGAATATTCCCTGAACCACAAATCTTTTGAGTTCAGACCATGGATAACTCATCACGATTGGACTAATCCGAATGAAAATCCAGTCAGAGTTATAAACCAGTAGGAGATTAAGCTGATAATCACTTCATACCCATCTTGCTTACCTTGCAAAAAACTCCAAAAAAAACTAAATTTACAAAACTTGCGGAGTTTCTTTTCATCCAAAATACACTAAAACCAAAGGAAACTGCAACATCAACTCCTTAATAACCGTAATATTCCCATCGCCTCAAAAATAAAAGCAGCTGAAGGTATACTTTATTAAAAACAATATTACCATCGACCTTCAGAAGACTCTCGATCTCATCAAGTCACACCATCTCAATAAACAACACATCCCTGGCAGTTCACAAAGTTAACCTGGAATGGGTGTTCTTTTTTTCCGATCTACTCCCAAAGAACAACAAAACCTGTGATGAAATGCCGCAGTTTCTTCAAGGTGTCCCTTAGAGAAGTATCCTCTGCCCCGTTATCAATTCCAAATAAAAGTTGATAAAGACTATACCCTAAAAAAAATAATAATAATAACAACGACATAACACTCGCATATAAACCATAGATTCCATAGAATATAGAAACAGGCTTAGTAAATGCTATAAATAAAAAATACAATCTTCAATCAGACAACAAGCCGATCGTGAAAGAGCCATGAAAGTAGATAATGACCCTCTGAGTCGTTCCTTTGAAGCGAATCCGTTAAAAGTGATTATCAAAGATCTGAAATGATACACTAACAACAGTAAAAAATAAACAAATACTGCTAAAGCTGGTAAGTGCTAAAATCCTTGTGCAAATATCTTGTGTAAACAGATATTACATGTTAACAGTACAACAATATATTGGATATGTAAATGATAACATAATGACAGTTATACCAATGCACCGATAACTCCATGATGTATATTATTAAAGCACTTAGAGAGAGTACAGTCTTCAGCCATGTCTTACAAATCCAGATTCAAAATAAACAAGGAAATCACTCAATATGACTGGCAATGAATGACCTAACTTAGACCACGAAGAACTTCACCACCAAAATGCAACTTTTGAATCACTGAGCATGACAATACGGGGAAGGCTAGATCAGTAGCAACTAGAGGTGTCACTGCGTCTGTTTTGATGATTGTACAATGAAAATAATGAAAATATAACCATTGAATGAACCGTATTCATGTTGACAAATGTGGAGAGGTATGAATGAGAACGAATATCTTCATTGGTTTCGATTACATCTCCGTCAGAAATACATGAATTTCTGACGAAGATATAATCGAAACCGGTAAAATACATCTCTTGCATTGTGAAGATATTCGTTCTCATTCATACCTCTCCGCAATAACCATTGAAATCATTATTTCCCATCCTTTTTGAAAATCGAAAAGTCCAAAATGATCGACCATATTTCACAAAGCATCCGTAACTTTTGTGACGTCATCAAAACGTGTTCTTTCCCAAAATAGAATCAGACGCCATGACACCCCCTGGAGTTGCTACTGACCCAGCCTTCCCCATGAAAATACAACAGATCGACCCTAAGGACACCGCATTCCGAAATAAGATAAATTATTGCTATTTTCATTCATCTAGTAATTAAATTTTTGAATTTTTGAGCATGCTCTATGTGTCATATGAAGGGCCATGTGAGTATAGGGTTCCGTCATTGAAAAGAGGTTAGCTACGAAGCCATGGCCAACCCACCCATAAATTTCACCAAAATCTGAAAGCAATGATTCGCACCCTGTTCCTAAATCAAGTACAAGTAAAACTTTTAATAAATAAAGGTTAGCAGAATAATGATGATAACCATAATCTAAATTGCAATAATTTGAATAATAATAACAATGATAATGATAGCAATAAAATAATTATATTAAGAGTACAGATTATGATAATAAGAATAAAGATTTTGATAATAACAATAATGATAGCAATAATAATAACAATATTAATAATGATAATAATTATCATTATTGTTATTATTGTCATTATTGCTGTTATTGTCATTATCATTATTGTCGTTATTTATTATCACTATTATTATGATAATTATAGTTACAATTATGATAATGGTAATAATAATAATCCTTATTATTAAAGCCATAATTGTAATTATGCTTATATTTATAAGTGTAATTATGATAATAACAACAATAACGTTAACAGCGGCAATACTACAACTAATAGCAATAATAATAACAACAGCAAAAATAGTAATAGAAATGACAAAAGCATAGGAACAACAATAACGACTGTTACTACTTCCTCTAATAATATTACTACTATTACTTAGAATAATAATAATGATGATATTATAATTATTATTATTACAACTAATATTATCCATAAATGATGATAATAAAATAATGATAAGAGGAATGATACTACTAATCACAATAATAATATGAAGAATAACAATAATATTGATAATAATAATGATGATGAGGATACAAAACAATAATGATAATGATGACAATGATACAAAACAATAACAATAATAATAACAATAACACAATCAACAACAATAACATTATCAATAACAATAACATCACTATCAACAACAATAATAACAGCAACAGCACGGCGTTCACACAGACCTTCTCTCCCGATAAGCGAAGGGAACGGAAGGCCTCGCGAGAAAGTGGTGGTCTTCTTTGACCTGCGGGAGAGAGAGGTCACCCTTGAGGAAGTCAGTGAGGGTCATCTCGGCCAAGTCTGATCCCTGTTTCTTTGCTCCTTCGGTAGCCATTGCGCTTAGGAGACACGGATGAGAGTTATGACTTTGTAGGAGAAGTGTTCCTTGACAACTGATGAATTCCCACGTGCTGAGACAAGCATCTTGAGAAGATAAGATAAGGGAGGAAATAAGTTCAAAATATTCAGACTAAAATATAGTTAAAACTAATGATCTATTGATCCTGCGATATTTTCAAACAGCATGGCACGCTGGAAGATTTACTTTGACACGAATATATGTCACGAATTGATAAAAGAACCATTGACTACGTTAACCTTCACGCCTTTAAACACTCCACAATGAAGATTAATAATTCCATTATTAATAAATATCTCACATTATTGTCATTTACACAAGTATCTTAAAGAGATAAGTAAAAAGACAATGAAATAATAAATTGGTAAAGAACCATCAAACCAGCCGCTGCTCACGCCTATGACGTCGGCCATGTTTGTTGACAGACGCTGAGGCCGGCACCAAGCCCACGCGAAGAAAACTGTCAAATAATATTAGAAGGGAACCTAAATCGCCACCCTGAAAGGTTGGTTTTGGTGTATCCTTATCATATTTATGACTGGTGTTATTATATTTGCATATGGTTGGCAGCTGTAGGTTGTGTGATTGATCAAAATAATGAAAGTGAAATCTTGGGTGGACGTGACCACAGCCCAATATTTTTAATTGTTATTAGTAAACTACAGCAGATATCCTTGTGTTAGTGAGTCACAGAGCACTTCCTAAGTATAAGCACATCGTTTATGCAACGTCTAATGTAGTTTGACACTTATGGTATATATTTAGGATATTGCTTATTTCGTGTAGCCTCCCTTTGTTTTCATAAGTATTATAATAGTCTTCTGTACTTTATCAGTGCATCTTATTATTAATTATATCTTTTCTATGTAAGTTAATAGCATCTAGGTGCAGGAATTAGAAGTAGGTCAAACGAGTACATACATTTCATATGGACTCCACTTGCTTGCCTTGTCTGTGTCAAGCATTCCACGGATAGGCAAGGTTTATCTCGCCTTCGTATGTACTAGCCTTTGAACCGTCAGGAGAGACCTACTTTCATGTTTTTGTCGTTTATTGATCTCCTTCGGCAGGTTGTAAACAGGTAATGACTTGTTAGGGAAATTATAAAGATGCGTACCATCCTTAGGTTATTTGATCAGTTATGAAAATCGTGGCTCCCCAATCAATTTTCGCATAATCAGATTTGTTGTTACGTGATGAGAACAAATCTGATTTCCGTCGCAGTCACAGCCTACAATCTTGATGTGTTAAGTCCGGATAGCAGTAGAGGGCATGGAGTATATCAGAGAATTTAACCCACTTACGACGGGTATCACACATACAAAACACCTGGAAAAGTAAATATTATCAGGCATCCATGCTGGTGCGACGCTAGATTGGAGCTTGCTCTCTGATTTTTGCCCATGGCGGGTGGCACACGGGCAGGTTCTCAGACTTTCCTATGCACTGACTTTGAAAATGCCCGGAAAATATTAATTTTGGCTTGAAAATGTACCGTTGCTAGTGGGTTAAGGGGGGTAATTGTCACCAATAGTGACGCACCCTCCCAGAGAGTAAGTCAGGAAAAAGTATGTTTTTCTGCAGGAAATCCACTAATGATTTCATCGATTCTTGGCATTGTTTCTTCTGCAAAAGAATTGAGGTGATTGAATACCATCTCTCCATTGATGATCTTGATTTGATAATCCTGATAGCAGGGGAGGGCAGGAAGTGTGTTAGGGAAATTAAGGGGTAAAACAGGCTTTGATAAGAGTAATTGATCGGAAAAAGTGCATAGCCAGCTTTAAAGAAAAAAAAAATAAAAAATAAAAAATAAAATTGGTTAATTAAACTACAGATGTCCCTGCCATTTTTAAAATTGTATGGCCTTTTTTTTTTTTTTTTTTTAACTAATGGAATCCAACCCACCTTTCCGGAAAATCTACAGTTCACACTTTCCAAATCCCCCAAAAAACGTACTGACGAATACACCAACCTAATCTGACAATTTAAGCTGTTGTGACTAGGTGTGCCCTTCAGCAATGTCCGAGGGAAGGGTAGATAGGAGGTTCCACCCCCCCAAAATCCTCAGGAAATATTCTCTTCACCTCAGTTTGTACTTCAAGATAGAGCCACACCGTAAAATGATAAACAAAAAACCTCTATATCATGAAACGTCAAACTTTCTTTCGCTTCTTTCTAAGGTCTGGATTGCCTTATTTTTAATCTCTCTCTCTCTCTCTCTCTCTCTCTCTCTCTCTCTCTCTCTATCTGCTTTTTATGTTAGTAACCAAATATATTTGCTAAGCATGTATAGGTGGATTCCTAAGGGATTTGATTGTTGAATGTATTTGTTTATTAGTTTTTAAATGTATCAATAGTTTGAGACATTCATGCTTTTTGATTTTGCAGAAGAAACCATGGCAGACAGTGATGATGAGTATGAGCGACGTAGACGTGATAAATTCCGTGGAGAGAGGTCAGAGTACACAAGCAGCAGCAGCACCAGAGACCGTAGAGATGACAGTAGGCGAGGAAGGGATGACTGGGCTGACAGGTAAGAAATTAACATGCTAAATTATTATCAAACTGTTTGATTGTATGTACATGTTTATCAGTTAGAATGTTAAAGCTATACTACACAGATTTGTATAAATTCAAAATATACTCATTCTATTTAATATTATTGTCTTCAGAGATTTAAAAAGTTAAGCTGCAGATGTATCAAAGGATAACAATGCATAGTCTAAGTATTTATTAAACTCTTTATGTATTATTGGGATTTCTTTTTACAGAGGCCGTGATAGTTGGGGTAGCAGAGAACGTGGCTCCTCACGTCGTGAATACGGTAGGGACTATGGAAGGTCCCGTGACCGCTACTCTCCTGGAAGACATGACATGTCTCCTCCCATTAAGCGGATGAGGCAGGACTGGTAAGTGGCACATCTTTAACAGCATATTTTCAGACTGGTTTCACAGTCCTATTTGTACATTTTTTGTACAGAATGTGAAACAAAAACATTGTGTCTGTGTGCAGCTGGAGTAACTTCAGTCATGGTATTGATTTATTTCTGACATTACACAAACAGGGACGACCGAAGGTATCCATATGAGAGCAGCGGTGGCGGGGCAGGAGCAAATTATGGGGCCTATGGAGGTAGCTACGGGCAGGATTACGGCCATCCATCTGGTCATGCTGGTGGTGGTGGAAGGTTAGCTCCTGTTGTTTGTCCAGGCTTCTTGCATAATTGGTAGAAGCTTTAAGCAAAACAATTGTGAAATTCTTTGCAAAAGATACATTTCCAGAATTTTCCTTAAGTTTTGGCAGTCTTCCAAGGTAAACAGATCATAGAAGCAATAGATATGTTAATTGTAAGATATTCTGTGAATTAGTTTTGACAAGTGGGAGATGGCAGGAATTGATTTCAACAAATGGTGATTGATGTAACATGCAGTCACATCAATCTCCAAGTGTTTACATATTTACAAATTGTCTACCCATGAGCACATCAAGTATCACCAAATCTTGAATTTTAATATGGGACTTTTTTCCATAGAAAATTATCAATTTTATGTACTGTTTACCTCTTATTGTATGTATGTTTAAGATTGTAATTACATCCTTTTATGTACTGCATGCTTGTGTAATGTGATCATGCTTTGTGTTGATAGAATGGATTGACATAAATTTTTTGTGAATAGGTAACAGCAATGTATATACAACAATGAGTACATATATAGGTGCTTAATCTAAGAAGAGGACCTCTTTTTAGGTTCTGTTTTTATCTCGTACATGATTAAGGGTCTTAATATGATTATCTACATGTAATAATTCCACTAAAAAGTTTCAATTTTAGTTCGTAATGTTAGTAGTCATTATGATTTGTTACTCCAAGTGACCCAGTAATGTTTTAAGTAATTTTTATCTTTATTTTTTCTGTGTGTGTGTAAAATATGTATTTGTAACGATAAAATGTTGAATATTTCCATTTTCTCTTCCCTCATGTTTCAGGTTAGATGAACTGGGCCCAACGCAGCCACCAATGATGACTTTCAAAGCCTTTATGGAGCAGTGCGACGACTCCATCTCGGAGGAGGAGGCACTGAGGAAGTATTCAGACTACAAGCTTGAGTTCAAAAGACAACAGCTAAATGAATTCTTTATCAACCATAAAGAAGAAGAATGGTGAGCACCCTGTAACATCACCTTCCTACTCGAGAGGGGTATACCTTGCTAAAGAGTTGAGGATAGGATGGGAAGGAGAAATGTAAGAAGGAAATGGTATGGGTTGTGAGTGGCTTTGGGGTAGGGAGGGGGCATACGGTTATTGTTGGTAATAACACTTCCAGTGGAGAGAATTTGGAACTGCAAGGTTAGAGAATTCTTTTTGTTATCTTTTGTTATTAAGGCTCTTCATGGTGTAGGTCCTCAGTAGAATAGAAACTTCTTAATCTTTGTGCCAGTTTAGCTCATCTTAGAGTTCTTTATGTGGAAGCCTTTATGATTTAAGTATTTCTTGTGTATAGGCAGGTGTGCAAGAAGATATTGTTGAGTAGAATTATAGATTTTACTTGTGACTGTTTGTCCTTTGTCTTTTTTACTTTTCACATCATTTTCTTCTTATTTGTAGTAGATGATTAAGCTAGATGTACTTAATTCATAGTTGGGTAGCTCAGAAAAACTGAAATGTATGTTCTCTTTATTCTCCTCATCCTTTTTCTTTGGTGTCATTCATTTCGGGTTGAAAGAAGTATGTTAGAATTAGAGTTAGGATAGGTTACCTTTTTAAGCTTTTAGGTTTAAAGTCCTATAAATGTGGGCAATCTCATCTTGAGGTTCCACCCATACTTAATCTAACACTTGCCTCCTGACAGTTGCTTTTCCAGCATCTACAAACTACTGCACACCGCAAGCCAGCTAGAATTTCTGTTCTGACGATCTGATGAAAAACACACATTGGGCTCCTAAACGCGGTTAGCTAGGGTCGCTGCGCGCAATGCAGTGTTAGTGATGCGATATGAATGTCTAGGCTAGGCAGGGGGTCGCACAATGACCCGTCGTTCGCTCCGCTCTGTGTATCGAGCCCATGTGTGGTACAGGTGGCAATTTTCCACTCAGGCAGGTGAGATTACTTTGCCTAATGGTAACATTTCTTCTACTAAATTTTCTTCCCTTGTCACCTTTTCTCATAATGATAGTAATCTGCAAAGGATCAAGAATCGGCGACAGCATCAGTAATTAGCACGAATGCTAGTTCAGATTACTGTTTCAACATCAGTCTAGTGTAATACCTAGCTTCACAGTGGATTTGTTTTTTTGATGTATACAACCAAGTTGAATTGTAAGTTTGACGGCAGCTGAGGAACAAAGGCTCTATAGGACGCTGATCAAAGAGGAGTAAGTGAGGTGTTTTATTCAGTGGGAAAAATTGCCATATGTCTTATATTTTTGCAATACTTTACCAGGTTTAAGGCCAAGTACCACCCAGAGGAGTGTGTGAAGCGACGGGATGAGCAGCTGTCAAACTTGAAGGTAATTGCTTCATTATCCTTGTGTCCTCTGCTATTTGTTTCATAATTCAAGATAATTTGTTATGTTTACCTTTGATGTTTATGATAGTTATATTCCACATTTTCCTTTTCACAGAGAAGAGTGTCTGTTTTTTGTGAACTTTTTGAAATGAATCGAATGGAGAACATTAGCGTTGATGCTGATCAGTCAGACCAACTTCTGAAGCTTTTGGACTCTGTGGTCATCAAGCTGGAGGGAGGCACGGACCTTGATCTTCAGGTCTTGGACCAAGCACCTGAGGAGGATGTCAAGTCCCAGCCAATTGAAGAAGAAAAGAAGCCATTTATTTTGGGAGAGGAGTAAGTTTACTTTTTGATTATCTGTTGCTATATGTTTTCTCTCCCCCCCCCCTTCCTTACTCTTTTGCTAATTTTTTTTTTTTTTTTTTTTTTTTTTTTTTTTTTTTTTTTTTTTTTTTCATCTTCATTTCACATAAAACCCTTTCCTTCACTTGTATCGTTTTTGAAAGAGCCTGTGAAGGTATGGAAATCACATACTCATGTTATCTTTTTTCTACTCAAGCTCTGATGAGGGTGAAGAGAAGGAGAAATCGGAAGAAAAGAATCCTGATGAACCACTAAAGATGGACATGTCAGAGGAACAGATGGAGTTACAGAAGAAAGCTAAGGAATACCTGAAACAGAAGGTTAATGAAGGAGAAAAAGGTTAGTGTCTTGGATTGATCCTGGACGACAATCTGCACAAAACCAGTGTAGTGAAATGTTATCCAATGGTGAAATTAATGAACTCTTCCTTTCTTCTGCCAAAAAATTATAAGGGGCAGTGACTTTGATTTATTTTACAAATTCTGATATTGACATCTTCGTATGTATTTAACAAAGTAGCCTTTAGCACATTATCAGACACTTCTTACAAAGCTAGTCTCATTAAATGCACCTGCCTCATTCTTTTCTCAGAAACCCGGAAGCGAAAGCACTCTGGCAGTTCTTCATCTAGTTCATCAAGCGACTCGGATGACGAGCCCATGGAGGAAGACCTGAAAGAGCCGCCACCCCCTGGCATGGAGAAGGAAGAGGAGGAGAATGTGACTGAAGAAAAACCTGAAGAGGGTGAAGAGAAGAGCAAAGAGGAGGAGAAGAAAGAAAATGGATTGCAGCCCCCAGGAGAAGAGGAGAATAAGGAAGATCTGGACGAAGGTAAGGATGTCTTTCAAGGCTGTTGGAAGTGGAAGTGATATGGGAAATATGTTGATTTCTTCGATTTAGAACTTATTTTGTGGAAAGATACAAAATATCATCAAATAGAACTTCTTTTATTGTAAAATGCTGTCAAGTGTCTGGGAAGGAACTAATTTCTGTTTACTTGTAGAAACCGCTTCTCGGAATGGGGAGAAAGAGGAAGAAAAAGATAAGGAGTCCAAAAAGGATGAAGAGGAGGAGGGTAAGGAAGAAGAACAGAAACCCAGAGCACTCCACAAAACAGCATCCATCTTCTTGAGGAATTTGGCACCAACAATAACCAAGCAAGAAGTTGAAGCGGTAAGTGTTAACACAAAAGAATAGTTTGATCCCTGTCCTTACCTCCTTTGCAAGAATAGTTATTCCCTGTATTTGTCTCACTTCTCTTTCTTTTCATACGTATTTTAATGATATAAATTTCATCTACATAACCAGGGTATTCTGTTTTCCAGATGTGTCGACGATATAATGGATTTTTGCGAGCTGCCATTGCAGACCCTCAACCAGAACGCAGGTGGTTCAGACGTGGATGGGTAACATTCAAGAGAGACGTCAACATTAAGGACATTTGTTGGAACCTGAATAACATTAGAGTAAGTGTTCTATACTTTTCTTAGAAAGTTAAAAGTGAATAATTTTGTAGCAGTCAGAGCTCAGTGCATGATTATATTGTATTAATGTATATGAAACTAGATGGTTATGAATTTTGATGTGAACCTAACAATTTTTTCTTGTACAGCTAAGAGACTGTGAACTCGGGGCCATTGTCAATAGAGATCTGAGCCGACGCATTCGCACCGTAAATGGAATCACTTCCCATCGCAGTGTAGTCCGGTCAGATATCAAGTTATCGGCCAAGATCATCCAGAACCTTGATTCTCGTTGGGGATTATGGATCGAGTCAACTGAAAACCTGGACAATGCAGTAAGACTCCAGTCATTGGTTATATTGTGAGAGACAGTTCATGTTGAAAATCTAACCAAACTATGTTTCTGACATTCCTGTTGATGCTAACATATTTTATTTGGTTGACAATAGTTGCTGAGCCTGACTTCCTCGTCGAATCCTGTGCTTCGGAACATAACAGACTACTTAATAGAAGAGGCTAGTGCAGAGGAGGAGGAATTACTTGGAGCTAATGATGCATCAGCCAACAATAGTGAGGAAAAGGCTGAGGGAGAAGCAATTGAAAGAGACCCTAGTCTGATTAAAGTAAGGAAAACCTGAAACATTTTTTTAAAAGTGCACTAAAGGTTCATATGTTTTAGTGGTATTACAGATTTCAATACATACATAATTGTACAGTTATTGATACATATATGTTTCTTTTTTACAGGTATTGGATAGATTACTCCTTTACTTGCGTATTGTGCATTCAGTGGATTATTACAATCACTCTGAATACCCCAATGAAGATGAAATGCCCAATAGGTGTGGTATCATGCATGCCCGTGGCATCCCACCCTCAAGTAAAGTAACACCTCAAGAAGTACAAGATTATTGTAGAGCCTTTGAGAACAAGATTGGATCATTCCTGCAACCGTTGACCAAACTTAGTGATGATGAAGCAAAGAAATTAGGTAGTACTACCATATTATCTTTTGGAATTAAATTAGAAATTCATGTACTATATGAATGTTTGTGAATTAAGTAAAGTGCACATCACTGTCATCTATAAATTCTCCTAAGCTTACTAACACATCCTACTCATCACTAGGTCTGAAAGAGGCAGAGGAAGAGGTAGAGAAATTTGTCCAGTCCAACACTCAAGAGGTAGCCAAGGATAAGTGGCAGTGTCCCCTCTGTGGGAAGAAGTTCAAGGGTGCAGAGTATGTACACAAACACATCCTCATCAAGCATGCTGAGAAAGTCAAAGAGGTCAAAAAAGAGGTATGTTATTTTGAATTGGAAGTAGAAAACTTTAACTGAAGTGTAGAGATCATTTCCATTTGGCCGATCTGTTCTTAACATAACATAACATGTGCTTTGTCATCTTTCAGGTGGATTACTTCAACAATTATCTCAGAGATCCTAAGAGACCTCAGCTACCAGAATATCCTGGGAATAAGCATGGAGGCAGAAAGGATGACAGGCCCGACCCATATGTTGCAGCCTATCCTCAGCAAGCACCTGGGTAAGGTGGTTTTCGCCTTTGACTCTGTATCAAGGTACTCATGGAGTAGGTGGCAGCACTCTGCCTTGGTGAAAATCCTAGTTTAGAGCTGCAGAGCTAAGCCTGCTCTTTTACCATCATTTACGGCAAATCTTGCTTGGCTTTCTTGATTTGTAGTTTCCATTATTTTAAAGTGAACTTTTAAAATAACTTCCAAAGAAAATATATTGAGGAAACATTTACCATAATAAATCACTGACTGACAGGTGTAAAGGGGCCAATAACACCAATTTGTTTAGCCAATAAAGATGCACCTGGAGATGAAGTAAAGTTTTGAATAAATCATTATTTGTATAATTTAATTTGTTCAGTGTTATAATTACTGAATGTATAACAAAATTTTCAGCCTTATTTTTGATAAGGTGATCCATACCATAAACTGTCAAAATACTCCTAAATGGTGATGCCACTGCTACCTATCTTTTTATGAGTACCTTGTGAGTCTACCAATGATAGATATGTACAGATATGATATGAAGATGAAAATAACTAAAGTGAGCAACTTGAATATACATATGTGATGTTCTATGATACACATTTCTTATGGGATTTTTCTGTTGCAGGTATGGTGCCTATGGTGGAGCATATGGTAGGCAATACCCAGCCGCACCTGGGTACGGCTATGGTAGTAGCTACCCCAAAGATTACTATGCAGGACGTGGTGACCACTATGCTCGTGAACCCTATGCCAGGCCACGTGTAACTTACAGGTCGCGGTGAGTTGGTATTCTGGATTTCTGTGCTTTTGTATTTTTATTATTTGCTGGCCTCAATTTCAGAGTTTAATTTATGTATCATTTTTCTATTAAATTTGCCATCCTCATCAAGTGCTCATGTTAAAGTAGGAATTAAAAAGAGAATTAGGTTAATATACATGCTTAACAGCCCCCCCAATAATACTAATTCATAGTTGATTTTATGATATTAATAGAAAGTTATAATTTTACTAGTTACGTATTTGTACTGTAGGAAAATAAGAAATAGCTAGTGAAAGTGAAATAGTGTGCTCATTTGCATAAATTAGTCCTGGTGTTTAGAAACCGCAAGTGTTGTGTACACGAAAGGGCATCAGAAAGAGAATTCATTATGTAGCTTCTTTAATAGGAGAAAATGAGGTTGGAAATTCTTTCTTTTCTTTCTTTTTCTTTTCGTTTCTTTTTTCTTGCTTCCTTGATTTTTTACTACTTTTCCGTATTAATATTTTTTTCTTTTTACTATTACTAAGACTTACTTCAATGTACCTGAACTTTTTATTTGTTGTCTTATTTTGTTGTGGCATACTTGATGGGTAATTTGATTTGAATTTATCTTTTTCGTTCTTTCTTTCTATCCTTCCTTCCTTCCTTTTTTGCAGTTGTGTCTTTCAGTGGCATATATTAGGACTTAGTAGCAAAACAGCCTTATCTTCTCTTAGATCAATAATTCAGGAAACTTAAATGCTTACTATTATCTGTGAGCTATTAAACAGAGATAGTTTTGAGCGATAGATGCAAGGGAAGTTTCGACCCTTTTTTCTAGAGTGAAGGTATTGTTAGATTTGCATATCTCAGGAGGTAAGATATATCTTGCATAGGCAGTGAGGATTATTCCAGGCCGTACAGCTGCTAGGCCTTGCATCGGCTGGGTCTCTGGCATCGACTAAGTAATGGTTTTTGTTTCCTTAGGTCGGGTGACCCGCGGGAAGTCATTGGCTACCATGACTTGGATGCTCCCGATGATACAGATCTCTTTTAACCTTGACGCCGCCTGCCCAATTGTACGCACCGTTCCAAATATGAGGTCTCAGTTTAGCCGTTATTGTTACATCTCTTGGTAACAGGTGATGTTGTTTGAGAAATTGGGGGAGAGGTTTTTCCCAAAGAAGAGATGTTGGCCGGTAAAGCTTGCTGTTATGTCGTAGTTGAATGTGACTCTTGCCTCTATCATCCAAGAGCCAAATGTGTTCAGCAGACACATATGTTACAGGTTTCATATTATTGGAAATTCTCTTTAGTTTTACTCTTATTATATAGAACGTTGACTCTTAAGTAGTAAGAAAAGTTGGTTCATATTTTTACTCAAAAGGCCCCTTTGTTCATTTCATAGACAAAATATCAAGACTTGCACTCTCTAGGATTACTCCCCACAATATACCACTCAACATTATCTTTGTAAAATTGTTACCAAGAGGCAGGACATAGCTATGCTCTTGGCTGGGGCTCTCCTCAGCACAAACCATAGTTCATGCCATCAGAAAATAATATTTCTGGATTATTGAATTTATTTTCACCTTTGCTTAAATGAGTCATTATTATTTGCCTGTGGATTTAAAAGGTATATTATAGAAATATTACTTTCTTTGTAACAAAATAGCTTACTGAACCTATAATAGGAAAAGAATGCCTCTGCTAAACTGCTTTGCTTATTGCTTCCCAGGAAGGTGTTGCGCTCTTGTCACGTCTGCACTCGGTTCCAGCAGCAACACATTGGTGTCAGCTCTTTATGTATTTTATCCCTCAAATAATAAAGAGTGCCTTAGATGACAAGTGCACTTCCCTTTCAGCAGTCTGTCAATCTGTGTAAAATCTGTTTTTATTGTCTTTTGTACGAGTGTAATATATGTCAAATCCTTTCTCTCCAACAGGGTTGGGTACAGGGACCTTGATGCACCCAAGGAAGACTACTAGTTCCTCAAGGCTAATTGAATATTGTGGACCTTCAAGTCAAAGCCAAGCGTGTTCACTTTTGTGCAGTTACGTAACGCCGCAACGACATCATCATCATAGATTTTTCTTCCTGCAGTGGAATGTGATTTATGAATCATTGTGAAACATTTAGAATTAGGTGTATGGAGATCTTATCAAATTGACTTAACTTGAGACCTGGTGGACTTCATTATACCAGATATTGCCTTTACACATGGTCTTCATGTTGGGATTTTTGTAAAGAAGTCAAATGTGTGATTTACATTGAACAGATATTTGACATGTTCATCTTGGGGGTTTATTACAGACTTCTATTCATGGATAGTATAGCTTCATCCTTGCAATGTCTTTAATATATTTTGTATTATCATCAGTGTATTATTGTTAATATACCATCAGTACCATTTTCATTACCTTTTTGAATAACACTTATTTGGGCTGCAGTGTTTGTATAGTTCATATAGTTCATAAATGGAGAATATTTTTATTGTGACAAATGTCAGATTATTCTGGTTGGACTTTATCAGAACTAAATTTGGTTTTAGTTTTCAGTTATTTGTGTATTGATTCATATAATGAACAACTCTTTTCAATTTTATTTTGTTTCACTTCCCCTACCCATTTTGACTTTGCAGTTTGCAGAAAAGTCTCTAAGAGTTACTGAATACTGATAAAAAACTGAACAAATAAAAATAACGACTTCTTATTACATTCGGTTTGATACGTACCTAAAACAGTGTGAACAAAAGTTAAATAGGATTAAACATAATTAAGAACTTTAACATAAACTTTAAATATACTGGAGATTTAGCACAAAAATCGAAGTCATTCAATGTAAGGAAAATAAGAATACATGAAAATACAATAAAATATATGGAATTTTGTTTTGGTCACTTCCTGAGAGGCAAGAAGAATCTGAGAGAACTTCTGGGGGGTCTGTATTACTTAAACCATCCTCTCAATTTAATAAAAAAAAACTTTGTACGCTAGATACCGCTATAGATGGAAAGAAAGGAATGTTGAAATTTGCTTTAGCTCCTTTGCCCCAAAAGTTGGAATGGCTCATTTCCACTAGCAAGTTAGCATTCCTCATACTGTAAAGCTGTGTTGATGTGACCTATATCGAAAATGAGAAAGAGCAAAATGCTGTTATAAGAAATATATATGCCTTTTATTTTCTACAAGAATCAAGGAAAATATTACTATGAAATATTGAATATCAGGGAAAATATCAGTCACTCAGCAGCAAACGTCAAGAAAAAAATAAAAGTTACCATATATTTTCTCCAGAATGGTCATAATTCACGGGTGTATGCAATTGCATGCGTATGTTTTACTTACTCAGGTGCTTTATTCGTTCCAGTGTTCCATCTTAGTCTTAGTACTTTTCACTAGTTAAACAAAAGCACCGTTAAAGGACGGGAAGAATAATAGTCCGTAATGAAATAGCATGTATATGTAAACTCGAGCATCATTTATGTATACCCAAGCATCATTTACGTGTACGCATGTATCTATGTATACTCAAACAAAGTTAAATAGTAAACAATCCCAATCTACTCACATGCTGATAAACATACGCAGGCCACCTTATTTGCATGTTTTGATGTATT